GAACTTCGAGCCCTCATTCCACAAACCCCCTAACCCTACTCCACATACCTCCTAACATAAACTTCCTAACCACACCTCCTAACATACCTCCTAACCACACCTCTTAACATACCTCCTAACCCTTACTCCACATACCTCCTTCCGGTTCTTCCACTTGGTCCGGGTCATGCAGCTGAGTGAACAGCGCATGTAGACAGCTCAGCATTCGGACACGTGGCAGACCCGTCCCCTTCCCCTTTCCCTGTTTTCCCGGGGCTGTATGCTGACATGGCAGCCGTTACTGCGCCCAACGCCAGATGCGCCAATCCCTAGTGGCGCTCCCAGCTGTCCCGAACGTGCTACCCGTGCCTATAGGCTCGGCAAGACTCGCCCCGTTGACTCGAGGCTCGGGGAACCATGGTCTCTCCGTCTCTGTGTCGCTGCTGTCTGATTGGTCCGCGTCTCCCATTCTCGTCTGTTGCTTGTATCGGATCTCGGCACTCGGCCTCGCTGAAGCACTATTTTGCCTGCAAACGCTATTACACGCTAAATTCTGTAATAATGTCTGTTAGTTGGATAATGTAGAAGGCTATCACAATAATGATAGCTTCTGATGCTTATAAATACAGCCTGCTGCTGCTGCTGCTTCGTTGTCGCCTGTCGCGACCCCCTGCTGTTGATAGCGATTCTACTGCGGTCTCTACTAGATTAGGTTAAGTGAGTCAGAATGTACCGAAAGGGCTAAATGGAGTGACGTACGACGACATCGAGTGTACCCTACTAACTCCATAACGAGGACGTTTGCCGCGGGTGGGGATCAGCCTATCTGCGTAGCTCAACGAGTATCTAGGGATTCTAGCGCCAAGAGACTGTGATTATCGCGGATGTGCCTGTAAAGGATGGTGGATGGTGCAGTGGTGAACGGGTGAGCTTAAAACGAGAGACGTGAGAGGCCCAACAGGCGGCGAACACGCGACGATAGGCGTCCGGTACGCAGCCGTCCATGGCGCCATCTAGGCTCACGAGCCACCGTCATGATGACATGGCATTGCCATGATGACGCGGCAGCATCGTGCAACGCCGGGTTAGCGAAGGCGGGAGGAGGAGTTAGTGGCGGGACCTATTCCAGGCGAAATAAGGAAAGTCAATGTGCAGCGGTGTCCCCGCTAAGAGCCTCCTCGTTAAAGCCTTTGTGACCAATAGATAGTGTATAAAACACAAAAGCTCCCTGTGGGACCCACGACAGGCGAACAGAAGCACGGGGAAAGGGACGGAAGACAATGTAAGGTACGACTTTTGAGCAACCTCATTGAGGCTCAATGAGCAACCCTACAAAGGCTTTGACAACATCGTAGAAAGGAAGTGAACACGAAAGAAATTGACCCGAATCGAGCATAGAGTCGCGAGAACAGGAGAGAGTAAGCATCAACGAACGACTCTGCAGCACAGCCTTCAAGCTTCAAGAAACGCGCAAAAGCAAGTGTGTCGTACCTGTAAGGTAAGGTGTCGTTACGATGTTATCACTAACGGACGCATTGAAACTGAAAGGAGCAAGACAACACGCGCACCCAGGTAATCTGTCTTCACGATATTAGGGTTAAGAAAATGACCTGGCCAATGTACGTTACGAATAAGATAGCCGGAAAATGTGGGTGTGATCGAGGACTTGCGAATGATTAGGAGGAATCGGCGGACGAATCGTCAGTTAGGGCAACCTGAGGAGCTCTGATGAGACGAAGCAAGAGCAACCAGCTAGATTGGAGTAGGCTACTCCAACCTAGCTGGTCACTCGAGGACAGAAACGCACACTGGCCGTTCCGCCATCCGCCATATCGAGGGGGGAAGAAATAGGGATGACAGGGAAAGTTTATGTGGTTAACTACGGTGATGGTCTGTTCTATGCTCTTCGCCGCTGTGAGGAAATGCTGAGGGCCGCAGGGAAGAGTGTTGGGGAGATTTTGGATGGGTGGAAGGGGAGAGTTTGAAAGGGGAAGTGGCGGAGTTGGCTCTTGAAATGCGGGAGAGGCGGAGGAAGCTGGGGAAAGGCTCCGCCACACGAACAGTGTGGAAGCAGCTTTGGGGGGAAGACGGCTTATCCAAATCCAATGATGCCTTGGGAATATCCAGATTCGCATTTTCCAGGGGTTTTCCCAAATTGGCCTAGTCGCGGCAATTTGCTTGTAAAGAGCTCTCATATAAATGCTGCCGAACTTTGCGTTCACTTCGTGCCACTATTTTACTACCACCGTTAAACTAGCAGCTTTATGGGGTTTCCGTTCAGCGCCTGAAGTGTTTCCAATCTAAACACGGCAAAAGTGCAGACAACATACGAAAGGTTGCGGCAGAATCAATCACAATCGTAGTGGAACCAGACCTTGCCAGCCGGAAGAGGTACTTAGGTACGAGCGTCTCGCTTTACAAATGTTTTCTCCCCACCGAGAACTATTGAAGTGCCAGGGGGAAATCCTTCGCGCTTTCATCACCGAGGGGGCAGGTGGTTCGGAAGTGATAGGCAAGTGGGCACAAATAGACGGAGGTTAGGCAGCCAGCTAACGCTTTGCGGTTTGCGAAGACCCGAGGAACTGCTATGCGACTTTCACCAAGGCCCGTTACTCACGATACAGCAACTTTTCCGCAGAAACGGTTGGACAGGACGAACCAACAGCTCCTCGTGGACACTGCATGACAATGCTCCCTTACAAACAGATTTATCATGCGTGAATGCCTCCTCCTATATTATATAGAGGTATAAGTGCTCATTATGTATCTAAATTCCCCTCATGACATGTACTAGCCAGCCCATCATAAGGCACGTCACTTCACTAACCGATTGCAGTACTTCTCTGTACCAGAGGAGTCTTTCCATAACGCCGATAAGCCGCCAGTTGAACGGAGGCTGTTGATGCCCTCAAACCTGGGAAGCCTTCGCAGGAAGGAACGTGGACAGAGCAGCCACGAATCAACATGCTTCTGCTGTGTCACTTATACACTGCCCCAGCCACCTGGACATGGACCTGCTGCCGCCACGTGCTCATGAATTCACCCAAGCCGTCTGTTTCCCTCCAAAAGATCTGGTGATGTGGCCCGTGACAGCTCAGCGTCGCGCCAGCACCTGCTGCTGTATGTTCATCTCCATTCACACATCACCAGAGCTTCTTCACATTGCTTGCATTCATCAGTCGTTCATTCATCACCTGGTCAACAGATAAACTCTCTCCCCCCATCCTTGTCATTAGTTCCAGACTCTATTCACGAGTTCATCGTGATTCATCGTAAGCTTGTAGCTGTGCCTACCTTCTCCACAGTCAGATCCTCTTACGCACGTACATACTCACTCCTACACATTAGCCATGGCTGCAACCTCGCTCCAATGCAAGCTCTCGCTTGGATCTCTCGTGAAGGCTGACGTGCCGTCCCTTCGACAAGGACCTGCCGTCGTCTCGATTCCTCAAAGAGTAAGTAACTGTATTCCCTGGAGTAGTCAGATTCTCTAGTAGAGGGTTCTCCAGTAAAAATATTGGCGTCCACTTGGCTTTCTTGGCGTTCGTCAGCTCAATTGTGCGACCCTCGACTGTCATTGCAGAGAGTATCTGTGCGTGCGGAGCGCCTTGGAAACGACTACACCGGCTACGTCGAGAAGGACACTGCCGGCCAGGAGAACATCTATGCCGTTGAGGTGAGCATAGAAGTTGACTATAATAAGTGGACGAAAGGCAGCAAACTAGTACTTTTACGATTCCCGATGTGAGCTTATTTTAGGAGACTTGCACCATCGTCGAACTCGTTTTCCGCTGTAACAGTTGTACTTCAGGCTAATGTGAAATGTTCTCCTGCCTGCAGCCTACCATCTATGTTGGAAACTCCGGCAGCTCCGGTGTGGTCCTGAACGTCGTCGGTGCTGCTGCTGCGCTGGCCGGTGCAGTAGCCGTGCTCTTCGCTCTCGGCTCGTCGGCTCCCGCACCTCAAGAGGAGACATATTCCGGCCCTCCTCTCTCGACCTATGTTCGGAAATTTGAGGCGGAGCTTGCTCCAGCTCCCGTGCAGGCTCCCGCGGTTGTTGATGAGGTTGTCGAGGCGGCCCCTGCTGCTGAGTAAAAGTAGCTACCGGCCGACTCTAGGTGCCGTGACGCTATGAAGGTGAAGTAAACGATACGAAACAGCACGATAAAATTCACCATTCTGTAATTTTAGCGTAGGAATGCTCTCCTTGACTCCAGGGAATTCTCTTGTGTTGTCACTACCGATCCTGAATAAATGGTTGACCATTCCATATTTCATCATAAATTGGTTCTAGAGAGATAAATTCAGGTTGAAGAATTTATGCTCCGTTTCCTCGTCTACAATCCCCTTTCCCTCCATTTTCCTCTTCCCCCCTCGTCTCCCCTACTCTCGTACCGCCATCTCTCACTTCCTACTGTGACAACCCCCTTCCGTTCTCTCCCCCCTCCTGCTCCTCTCCTTCCCTCCCGCCGTGGTCCTTCCATTGTCTTCACGTTCCATTCTCCTCGAAACCTCTAAACCTTGGTCTCCTCTTTTGGTTATGATCTCTCCCCTCTGCCTCCCCCCCTCCCTCTCCCTCTTTGGACATCTCTGTCACCTGCTCTCTGCCTTAATCCCACCACTCCCTACTTTCCTCCCTCTTTCCCTTTTGGCTACCGTTGTTGGCTGTGCTCTCAAAAGTTGGTTAAACCCTGTTGTGATCACAGCTCACGGCGTTTGAATGTTCAGTACCTAGAAAGTTGAACTGGCAGTGCAACAAAGAATCTCAAAAATTTCCAGAAGTTTAGTCAGTGTACAGCTAGCGCATGTACAATTACCTAGCCTAGTTGTACGCTATAAAAGTGACTAACTTAATGATATATAACACGTAGTCTATCTTTGGATATAGAAACGTTGCAAGGTTCGTTACAAACTCCCATACCATCTTAAGGCTCTTCAACCCTATCGCCAGGAATGACCTTATCAAACTGTTTCCTCTGTTTACTCTGAAATGTCAGATCGCTATAATATGCAAACCTAACTTTCCTGATTAACCCATTTTCTCAGTCATAGTTTCAGAGCAAGTTTTTGGGGACCTTGAACAATACAGACCTAGCGCTAAGCCAATACTGAGTGTCCAGAGTACAACGCGTACGGTGCCTGCAACCGACAGCCCTGGGATCTGCCGCAGGGTCCCCCAAAATTTCGCCCGCTATCAATGCTTCCCGCCCGCGTCACGTGCAGAATCCACACTCAGCAGGAAATCCCGCTTAGTCCATTGTGTACTCTGCCCACAGTGGGCACTTTCCCACGTAGCGCGGCATAATCCTGCCACGCCAAACCTCTAAGGACTGCAGATTCTGCTTTGACGCTCTCTGTGCATGCGTGAAACTCAGGCCCCAAACCTCATCTGCCAGCCTTCCGTAGGTTTGGCAACTACCCGATTGGCTGCAAATGCAGCCAACACGTCGATGGCTGCATGGTGTTGGGTTGTGCAAGGACAGGCCCGAAGACCGCGTAGCGCCTTTCTAGAAAGGTGCGACACGGGTTTGATGTCTCCCTTCTTCTCCCATCGTTCCTTACTCATCTGTCTGAAACGCCTTGCTTCATGTTTTACAGGAGGAGTTCATTTCATCTCCTCATTCTCTGTCTCACACGCGTAGCTATAGTCGCATCGTTTAGTTTCCCCCCGTTGCTTCACCTCTCGCCATGCCAGACACGGGTGGCGCCGACGATGCTCCTACTGATGGTGATGAGCCGTACAGTCGGAAGGAGCCTGCCGTAGCGCCGAGGAGAGGCTTAGATTTTCTGCGGCCCGTCGTCGCACCTGTTCCTCCCCCATCGGTCGCCCCAACCGCAGTCGACGAACGACTGCGCGTCGAGCCACCGTTGTCATGTAGTCCTACCTCCGTTCCCTACGTTCTCCCACCGGCCCTGATGAACCACCGCCACCGAAGTTAAGAACAAAGGAGATAATCGAGCAGAAGTACCTGATCGCTGAAGCTAAGTACAACAATAATTGGCTTCGCTACTTCTCGTGGCTGATACTTACCCGTACTAAGGATGGGTACCCCGCCCTTAAGTGCAGTGTTTGCCGAGCTTTCGGGAAGGAGACGACAAAGTACTCGAGCTTAGGCGAAGGCAGGCGAGATCTCCAGACCCATACGATGCGCATCCATGAACACTCTACGGTCCATGAAGACGCGGTTCGCCGACAGTTGGAGATACAACAAGACATCGACGATAAGCAGCAGAAGATAATGAGTTTTGTCACCGAAACTGTCGAGGGTCATCGCGTCATCCGTCTCTTGCGGTGCGTCGAATTTCTTTGCAAGAGCGATGCTCCTATCGCCATGTTTCAACGGCTGCTCCGTTTCATGGCAGAGCAAGATGTCAAATGTAACTTAGGTTGTTACTGTAGACTATACTGGATTGTGCCTTAGAGGGTACAACACCCTAGTCTATATATCCTTGTATACACACATTCTAGTACAATCATTTTTCTTTCTATTATGGTATCATAGTAGGTTAGATCCACCCCTAGCCCGCTCACGCTTCCGCCCCTACGTTCCTAGCCGGCCCCCCGGCCGTCGCGCTCGTCCCTAGCCGATCTCTGACCGTTCGCGCCCGCCCCTAGCTGGCCCCCTGGCCGTCGCGATCGCTCCTAGCCGGCCCCCCTGGCCGTCACGCTCGCCCCTAGCCGGCCCCCTGGCCGTTCGCGCCCGTCCCTAGCCAGCCCCCTGGCCGTTCGCGCTCATCCCTAGCCGGCCCCTTGGCCGTTGAGCCCCTCCTATCCGGCGCCCTGGCCGTTTCGCGCCCGCTCCTCGCAGGCCCCCTGGCCGTTTGAGCCCGCCCCTAGCCGTCGCGGCTGCTTCTAGCCGCCGTCGCGGCCGCTTCTTGCCGTCCCTCGGCCGCCCCTAGTCGTCCCGGCCGCCCCTCGCCGTCGTGGCCGCCCCTAGCCGCCGCCGCTACCATCTCTAGCCGCCTCACGGTCGCTCCTGCCGTCGCGGCCGCCCCTCGCCGCCGTCGCGGCTGACCCTGGCCGCCGTCGTGGCTGTCCCTGGCCGCCGTCGTGGCTGCCCCTGGCTGCCGTCGCGGCTATCCCTGGCCGCCGTTGCGGCTGTCCCTGGCTGCCGTCGCGGCCGTGTCTACTTGCCGCCCGCCGGCCGGCCCTTGCATTTGCGTCGTCGGCGGCCCGCCGCTGCCTCGGGTTCGGCCCGTTCTTCCCGATCAGCACCGCCCTCCGAACCCCCCCCCGGTACCGTACTGCATCGCTTTGCACTGCACTGCACCGCTTTGTACCGCACTGCACCGCATTGCACCGCACTCTACCGTACTGTACCGCACTGCACCGCTTTGTACCGCAATGCACCGCACTATACTGCACTGTTCCGCACTGCACCGCACTGTCCTACTCTACACTGCCCTCTATTGTCACTCATGGTGGCGGTGCTTTGCTTTGACGCTGAGGGCCAGCCGATTGAGTTTGATGCATGGCTTGCTGACCTCCGTCGCCATCGCACTGATCAGCGGCAGGATGGCCACTCGCTGTCTCTCCATCTTGATCGTACCCTCCCCTGCCCTGACCCCCCCGCTGCACTGTCTCCTGACCCCTCGTCCGTTGAGCGTGAGTGCGCTGCAGCCGCTGCCCTTGCTCGCTCTGTCTGGCTGTCCCGTGACGCTGTTGCACAGCTTGCTATTAGCAATGCCCTCCCCCTGTCCGAGCGACCTCGCTGCAAGTCTATCACCACTGCCCAGGCTTTCCTAGGTGCTGTTGTCCAGCGCTATTCCACCCCGCCTGCTGCCTCGGTCGGTCGGCTGATCCTCCCCATGCTCTTTCCTGACCTTGCGTCGTTCCCCATTGTCGCCGACCTGGCCGCTCACCTGCGCACCATAGACGAGACCTGGCGTGCTGCCTGCACCCCCACACAGCTTCTAGCCCACCAGCCCCCCCTCACCTCTACTCTCTACCTGCTAGCCACCCGCCTCCCTGACTGTCTTGCCACTGCCCGTGACCGCTTTCTTAGCGTCCACCCAGCAGACCTTACCCTTACTGACCTTGTTGACACCCTGTCCGCTATAGAGGCCCGCCACCGCTCTATCGCTCAGACCAGCGGTACTGTGACGGTCCCTATCTTTCAGGGTTGTGTCCCCGCTCAGTGCACTTTCTCCGACGGTTCTGCTGCTGTGGCTTAGACTGCCGCTGCCGCACAGGTTTTTCCGGGGATGGGTCGCAGCCCCAAGGCTGGACGTGGCGACGGGGGTGGGGGTGGGGGTGTAGGTGGTTCTGGAGTTGGGTCACCTAGTGGTGGTGCTGACGCGGGGACCCTGACAGGTGCAGCCGAGTAGCCGTCTCAGCAGTCGCCGGTGTTACAGCCGGACCCGCGCCAGCCGCAGAAGCCGCAGCCGTCGCCGCAGCCGCAGCAGCAGCAGAGGCGGACGAGTCGTCTTCCACCTGGGTGGCCCGGCGCTGGTGGCGGCGCTGGACGTGGTGGTGGTGCGCGTGGTGGGCTGCCGAGTGGTGGTTCGGGTGCCGCGCGCTGTCAGTACCTGCTTCAGACCGGTCCTCGTCGTGGCTTCGTTTGCGGTAAGATCGGTCATACCTCCGTCCGCTGTTTCCGTCACCTGGACGACCTGTTTCGTAAGCGTTTCGGCCCGTCGCCCGAGCTCCCAGACTGGCACAGCTTGCTTAGTCGTAGGGTTCAGATTTTTTATCTGGACATGGATGAGATTGTTGCTGCTCTGCATGTGATGTATGCTGATGACTCTAGTGTGCTTCCGTCTTATTACCCCTTGTTGCCTAGTGTAGGTGTGCCTTCCTTAGACTCCCCTATTCGTCAGGCGTAGGATCCCCTGCTTTGTTTAGCCTTGGTGCTTCTGCCGCTACTTCGCCTCCGGCCGCCACTGCCGCGCTCTCCTTCACCCTCGACTCTGGCGCTTCCCGGTGCTTCTTCCGCGACTCCACCACGTTGACACCGCTTCCTGTCCCTGCCGCTGTCTCCCTGGCTGACCCCTCCTCTGGCCCTGTAGTCGCCCGCAGTTCCACCACCCTCCCCTGCCCGGCGGTTCCTTCGGGCTCTCTTACAGGCCTGCACATCCCCTCGTTCTCCAGAAACCTAGTTGGTGTCGGCTGCCTCCAGGACCTTGGCGTCACCACTATGTTTCCTGGTCACGAGCGGTACGCTGTCTATACCGAGGCCGCCACTGGTGCCCCCCTTACCACGTTCCCCCGGGACCCGGTGTCCGGACTGTTCACACTGGATATTGTGACCCCCCCGGCTGGGATCCCC